CACCGGACGCTGTGGTAGCAACTACCACAGAGAGCAACGATATGAAAATATAATGAAGACAGAGCAGAATATGACATGACGGTATCAAGAACAGCCTTAAAGAAGATCAGCTTATATACATACATACATACATACATACATACATACATACATACATACATACATACATACATACATACATACATACATACATACATACATACATACATACATACATACATACATACATACATACATACATACATACATACATACATACATACATACATACATACATACATACATACATACATACATACATACATACATACATACATACATACATACATACATACATACATACACAGGCACACAGAAACACATACACATAGACACGCCCACAGACACAAACAAACTCACAAGTATTTACAGACACACACACATATACACATTTAGGCACGAACAGACTCACCCAGTCACACACACACACACACACACACACAGAAACAATTAGATGACTGCAGCAAAGCTATGACAATATTTGTAAAAAAAAGCAAACGAAATGAAAGTAGAAGTAGAGTCCGTTCAAAAAGTCGTGTACTTGTTTGAAAACCTGAAAATCCGTAAGAGTCAGATGTTAAACAAATGGGGCGGGGGTGGGGACTGACTTGCTTAGGATGTTCCATTTTCAGCACCAAATATTGTGGACAAAATTGAGAGAACAGCAAAGAAAAAGAAAGTATAACAGAAACTACTTACATTTTAGCTAGTAAATATCAAATATGTATTTACATAATTAGCTGAAAATTAGTTAAATTGGTGAAAATTGTTGAGTGAACTTAACCAGCATATTTTTCTTGTCCAACCGTTATATTCGCAAAATTATCCTTGTCCACCCTGTATATTAGCAATATTATCCTTGTCCACCCTGTATATTAGCAATATTATCCTTGTCCACCCAGTATATTAGCAATATTATCCTTGTCCACCCCGTATATTAGCAATATTATCCTTGTCCACCCAGTATATAACAATATTATCCTTGTCCACCCCGTATATTAGCAATATTATCCTTGTCCACTCCGTATATTAGCAATATTATCCTTGTCCACCCCGTATATTAGCAATATTATCCTTGTCCACCCCGTATATTAGCAATATTATCCTTGTCCACCCCGTATGTTAGCCAAATTTTGCGATGGGATCTCACTTGGAATTTGTGATATTTAAAAATTTATATTGTATGGTATATTGTACTAGCAAACGAAAAGATCATAGTACATAGCTTAATATTGAAACAATAATCGTTTTCCCTTCCTACCTTCAAAATGCTGCTCCGAGAAAACACGACATATTGAACATAAATCCAAACAGAATCACATAAAAAACTTATTAAGTCTATTCCAAGAAAACGACACTTATGAATGAATCTCGAGTGAAGGTAGAATAACTTATTGTCCGGAACAACCCATCGGCGTCTGAGATGGCTAGAGTCATACAGGAGCAGAAGGAGAGAATCGAATATCTGGTCAGCCATCCCAAAGTTATCTATCGATGCCCAGACGATGAGTCCAAGATCAAATACCCAAGGTATAACTGTCCCTTGTCTCTCCCTCTAGGAGAAGTAGACATTTGATAAATATGTTAGGTAAAATAGATATTTAAATAGATATATGTTTTAAGACATGCAGGCTAGGTAAAGTAGACTATAAATGTGAGCTACGTAAATAGATATTTAACACGCGTCTAAAGTAAAGTAAACAATGGGATGATGTGCTCGAAGAAGAAGATAAAATGTGTGCTAGGTAAAGTAAGAATTTATACATGGAATTAGTAAAGTATGTGTTTGAGCAGGGATTTAGTAAAGAAACGATTTGACACCACATGTGCTTGGAGTCGACAATAAATATGGTAGGTAAAGTTTTTAAAAAAAAAATGCATACGCCAGTAAAGTAAAGTGGCATTTGAGACGGGGTGAGAGGAAAGCATCAAGGGCACAGGGAATAGCATGAAGTGACCACAGTTTTAGAAGCATCAATTGTTAGTGCATGACTAAAGAAACATCACGGACAACGACGAAAAATAGACAATACATGATAGGTGTATTCAAAAAAGAAAAATGTCGAAACATGAATTGTGCAGTGCTAAACAATATATACAACTCGAAATTCGGGTAAGAGACGATTACACAAGAAAAAAAAAAGAAAAGAAAAGATAAGCAAACTGAAAAGCAAAACACGAAAACATCAGAGAATTGGTGACGTTTGATGCGTTCTTAAAGCGTAACGCCTCCTATCAAGTGTCAAGGGTGCATGAAAGGCGCCAGTCATATACAAGAGCTGCCTCAGACAATGAAACGACTATTGGATTCTTACATGAAAGTAAGAAGAAGCCAACGACAACAGGAGCACCACCATAGGGCAAGCAGAGAAGCTGAAATATTTTGGTCAAGTCAAGCTTCATTTCGGATTGGAAAGAATGATCACAGAAGTAACAGGAAATATTGGCACAGGATATCAGTGACTACTTGGGTATGAAAGTACACTAGACGGGAGAACTGGCGAGAGACCGAATTTCTTTCAGGCAGACTGTGATGAGAGCGACGTTCTGCACAGGACCTGCTACATGATGATAATGATATGCAACAACAATAAAAGTACTAACATTACTACAACTGCTGCTCATACTACTGGTACTACAAGCACTATCATCACCACCACTGCTACTATAAATCTGCTTCCACTAATTTCTGTTTCCTTTTTTTTTAGGTCTCCTATGTGTTTCTCAATTTACCTATGTAATAATACATTTCTTGTTATGGCCAACTGCATGTTACCAAACTTGGTCACAAACTGCAACATATGAGCCTAGAATCATAATAGAGGTCATATCTTGAGGGGAGCTGCCGGGAAAATACCAATACCAGGATGGAAAAAAAGGAAAAAAAAACAGAAAAAGACAAGGGCTGAAGCCAGTTATACAGTTGATTTAAGAGCAACGATTAGATGATCGTGTCATCACCGGACGCTCTGGTAGCAACTACCACAGAGAGCAACGATATGAAAAATATAATGAAGACAGAGCAGAATATGATATGACGGTATCAAGAACAGCCTTAAAGAAGATCAGCTTATACAATGCATTAGGAAGAGGGAGAAAAAGAAGAGGAAGGAGAAGAAGAAGACGAAGAAGTAGAAGAAAAGAGGACGAAGAAGAAGAGGATGAAGAAGAAGAAGAAGAAGAAGAAGAAGAAGAAGAAGAAGAAGAAGAAGAAGAAGAAGAAGAAGAAGAAGAAGAAGAAGAAGAAGAAGAAGAAGAAGAAGAAGAAGAAGAAGAAGAAGAAGAAGAAGAAGATGAAGAAGAAGAAGAAGAGAAGAAGAAGAAGAAGAAGAAGAAGAAGAAGAAGAAGAAGAAGAAGAAGAAGAAGAAGAGGAGGAGGAGGAGGAAGAAGAAACTAACCTTAGCCCTAACCACCCTGCAATATGGCAAATTCTGGGACTTCCTCGGAATTCCCTACCAAATCTTGCAGCCGCTGAGATGGGATAAAAAGTGGAAAAGAACCTTAGATTTTGTCCGCCGAATTGATCTCTCACAACAGACTCGATTTCTCTGAACACTGGACTGGAAATGAGAGATTAAATGATATAAATACATTCTTGCCTATCCGAACTCCTTACAGCTTTCAGTTAACCTTGTTCTCCTTCGTATTTGATGGCTGATAATTTCCGATTGTATTTTCTATATATCATATTAAAATCTCTTTCGTGTGCAATGAGCAGGTGCAAATATCATAAACGGTCTCTCCATCCTGTAAAACGTTTAAAATATTCTCTAAAGAAAATAATAGAACACGTTTGATTTGAATATTTCTATTTGCATTGACAAGTTCAAATTCGTTAACATGTTAATCGAGCTACAACAGAGACAGTCCGACTGAATATTTCTGATCTGAATCTTTCTATTAAAATGTTAAAGATAAGTTGAAAAATAACTTTACGGCGAGTTTCACTACAAATTATTGATTTGTTGATTCACGATCTGGTTTTTACCCAGCTCCCGAGTGTTTGGGTAAATTTATGAGTCGTTTAAACAATTTGAGACGTATCGTTTAAATTTATAGGTCTTTTTTATAATCTGTGACGTATCGTGTAAATTTATAGGTCTTTTTTACAATCTGTGACGTATCGTGTAAAGTTATAGGTCTTCTTTACAATCTGTGACGTATCGTGTAAAGTTATAAGTCTTTTTTACAATCTGAGACGTACCGTGTAAAGTTATAGGCCTTTTTTACAATCTGAGACGTATCGTGTAAAGTTATAGGTCTTTTTTACAATCTGAGACGTATAGTCTAAAGTTAAAAGTCTTTTTTACAATCTGGGACGTATCGTGTAAAGTTATAAGTCTCTTTTACAATCTGAGACGTATCGTGAAAAGTTATATGTCTTTTTTTACAATCTGAGACGTATCGTGTAAAGTTAATGGTGTTTTTTACAATCTGAGACGTATCGTGTAAAGTTAATGGTTTTTTTTACAATCTGAGACGTATCATGTAAAGTCAATGGTGTTTTTTACAATCTGAGACGTATCGTGTAAAGTTAATGGTGTTTTTTACAATCTGAGACGTATCGTGTAAAGTTATAGCTCGCTTATACAATCTGAGACGTAACGTGTTAAGTTATAGGTCTTTTTTACAATCTGAGAAGTATCATGTAAAGTGTTAGGTCTTTTCTACAATCTGAGACGTATCATGTAAAGTTATAGGTCTTTTATACAATCTGAGACGCATCGTGTAAAGTTCTAGGTCGTTTATACAATCTGAGACGTACCGTGTAGAGTTATAGGTTGTTTGTACAATTTGAGACGTATCGTGTAAATTTATAGGTCTTTTTTACAATCTGTGACGTATCGCGTAAAGTTCCAGGTCTTTTTTACAAATGAGACGTATCGTGTAAAGTTATAAGTCTTCTGCACGCCTTGAGACACAATGCAGACATTATATACTTTACACGCTTCAAGAAGTAATGTCTGTGCAAGAGATAATTATGGTTTGTATTACTTACCGCACATTTCTTCCATTTCGAATTTTGTTTATAATTCACCAGTTTATTGTAGCATCTTGTTTGTGTGTGTGTTCGTGTGTGTACGTGTGTGTACGTGTGTGTGTGTGTGTGTGTGTGTGTGTGTGTGTGTGTGTTTGAAATGACAAATAATCCCTTTGTGTGTTCCGGTGTATCATGTTGACGGAGGTTTGACTGGGTAGACCCACTGTTTTCTAAATCAAGCATATCGTAAAATCACTGATTGAAATCAAATAATTAGGCCAAAAGACGGATAATTCTTCCTAGCCATGAAACCACTGCACAACATGCAAGGAGGAGAAGGAAAAGGAGAAGGAAAATGGAGAAGAAGTAGGATGAGGAGGAAGAAAAAGAGGAAGAAAAAGTAGAGGAAGAAGAAGAGGCAGAAGAAAAAGGAAAAGAAGAACAAGAAGAAGAAAAAGAAGAAAAAGAAGAAGAAGAAGAAGAAGAAGAAGAAGAAGAAGAAGAAGAAGAAGAAGAAGAAGAAGAAGAAGAAGAAGAAGAAGAAGAAGAAGAAGAAGAAGAAGAAGAATAAGAAGAAGAAAAAGCAGAAAAAGCAGAAGAAGAAAAGAAAAAAAAGAAGGAAGAGAAGAAAGAAGAAGAAGAAAGAAAAGAAGAAAAGAAGAAAAAGAAGAAGAAAAAGAAGAAAAAGAAGAAGAAGAAGAAGAAGAAGAGAGAAGAAGAAGAATAAGAAGAAGAAGAAGAAGAAAGAAAGAAGAAGAAGAAGAAGAAGAAGAAGCAGAAAAAGCAGAAGAAGAAAAATGCACAAAAAAAAGAGGAAGAAGAAAGAAGAAGAAGAGAAGAAGAAGAAAGAAAAGAAGAAGAAGAGAGAAGAAGAAGAAGAAGAAAAAGAAGAAAGAAGAAGAAGAAGAAGGAATAGAGAAAAAGAAGAAAAAGAAGGAGAAGAAAAAGAAAAAAAAAAAGAAAAAGAAGAAGAAGAAGAAGAGAACTGAAGAAGAAGAAGAAGAAGAAGAAGAAGAAGAAGAAGAAGAAGAAGAAGAAGAAGAAGAATGAAAAAGAAAAAAAGAGTGGTAGAAGAAGAAGAAGAAGAAGAAGAAGAAGAAGAAGAAGAAGAAGAAGAAGAAGAAGAAGAAGAAGAAGAAGAAGAAGAAGAAGACTCCCAAAAATCTAGTAAAGAAAAAGAGTAGAAGAAAAAGAAGAAGAAGAAGAAGAAGAAAAAAGAAGAAGAAGAAGAAGAAGACAGAAGAAGAAGAAGAAGAAGAGAAGAAGAAGAGAAGAAGACAGAAGAAGAAAGAAGAAGAAGAAGAAGAAGAAGAAGAAAAAAAGAAGAAGAAGAAGAAGAAGAAGAAAGAAGAAGAAGAGAAGAAGAAGAAGAAGAGAAGAAGAAGAAGGAAAAAGAAGAAGAAGAAGAAGAATAGAAGAAGAAGAAGAAGGAAAAGAAGAAGAAGAAGAAGAAGAAGAAGAAGAAGAAGAAGAACTACCACAGAGAGCAACGATATGAAAATATAATGAAGACAGAGCAGAATATGGTATGACGGTATCAAGAACAGCCTTAAAGAAGATCAGCTTATACAATGCATTAGGAAGAGGGAGAAAAGAAGAGGAAGGAGAAGAAGAAGACGAAGAAGTAGAAGAAAAGAGGACGAAAAAGAAGAGGAAGAAGAAGAAGAAGAAGAAGAAGAAGAAGAAGAAGAAGAAGAAGAAGAAGAAGAAGAAGAAGAAGAAGAAGAAGAAGAAGAAGAAGAAGAAGAAGAAGAAGAAGAAGAATTACCAAAGCTTGTAATGAAAATAAAAATAAAAGATCCTCCCGAACAGTTGTAAGAACTTTCTAGTAACTGCTGGTGAAGAAAAGGTGATGAAGAAGGTTCCGTCTCCACATTGAATTGTGATATTCAAAACTCTCTTTTCTTCTCTCGGTTACACATTTTCTGAAACAGATGTTCACCCACCTGTTGATGCTACCTTCCCACTTGTATCACTGTTTACCTTTTGTCTGTTTTCTTCAGATTGACTCTCCAATATGGTTATTTTAAGTCTTTTTATGTGTCGAAACAACTTTTTTCCTATTTATAATTTTCTTTCAGCAACTCCCTTTTATTCCCTAACAAAACAGCTCTCAACGGGCGGATGGAACATTTTGGTGTGGTTTACAGCTAGACCACGATAACTGCGCTTTTCGGCCACAAGCATCCGATTTTATCAAAACCACAATTTGTCATATTTTACGACATAAGGGGACTGTAGATCTATTCTTCTTCCCCTCCAAAATGGGGCTCCCAAACTTATAGGGGGAATGCCAGAGTGAAATATCTAGTTAAATACGTTGTGTAAGTTTAAATATGTCAAGCTGCACAAACTAATATGACAGGTAATGCACTTAGCATCCTGGACAATTAGTGTTGGATTTAGCTATAAGCTAAATAAATTGGGTCCTCACTTTCTTCAGCGGCCTCAGAAATGTATTTCTTTGGAAAGAAAAATTCAATTTGCAAGTTCCTTTCAATATATTTTTGATTAACCCCCCCCCCCCCCCCACTCCCCCCTCCCTCGATCTTTTTACTCCTGCATGTTTATCCTTTTCGAATTTTTCTTATTTTATTTGTTAGTACATTTTTTTCAGGCATTTATTCTAATTCTGAAGCAAAGAATACAGTGCTGTAAAAAAAAAAAAAAAACTTATATGATTATTTTTTAAAATAAATTTCCTGGCTTTGCAGACATATTCTTTATTAATTCTTTTAATACAAATTAAACGTGTCTGCTTTTATTATTTACATATTGTGAAGGTGAACATTCGGCCCTTCCAAACACCCGTCTTTCACACAGCAGATGTATTTTTATCTATAAAGCATGCTATGTACATATACACAAATGCATATCATAAACATCCAGAAAAAAACACAAAAGCATAGCTGGTAAAATGCAGGCACACACTCGCGCGCACACACTCACATGCACACACACACACACTCACATGCACACGCACACTTACATGCACACACACACACACACACATACACACACTCACATGCACACGCACACTTACATGCACACGCCCACTAAATCACTTACAAACACACACACACACATGCACACACACACACACACATGCACAAACACACTCACATGCACACACACACTCACATGCACACGCACACTCACATGCACACACACACACTCACATGCACACGCCCACTAAATCACTTACACACACGCAAAATCACCAACATACATACACACACATACATATTACATACACAGACATGCCACACACAAATCCATACGAACGTACATACGTATGTACATACATACATATACACACATACACACTTACATACATACATACATACATACATACATACATACATACATACATACATACATACATACATACATACATACATACATACATACATACATACATACATATATACATACATACATATGTACGTACGTACGTACGTACGTACGTACGTACGTACATACATACATACATACATACATACATACATACATACATACATACATACATACATACATACATACATACATACATACATACATACATACATACATACATACATACATACATACATACATACATACATACATACATACATACATACATACATACATACATACATACATACATAATACACAGGCACACAGAAACACATACACATAGACACGCCCACAGACACAAACAAACTCACAAGTATTTACAGACACACACACATATACACATTTAGGCACGAACAGACTCACCCAGTCACACACACACACACACACACACACACACACACACACACACAGAAACAATTAGCTGACTGCAGCAAAGCTATGACAATATTTGTAAAATAAAGCAAACGAAACGAAAGTAGAAGTAGAGTCCGTTCAAAAGGTCGTGTACAGGTTTGAAAACCTAAAAATCCGTAACAGTCAGATGTTAAACAAATGGGGCGGGGGTGGGGACTGACTTGCTTAGGATGTTCCATTTTCAGCACCAAATATTGTGGACAAAATTGAGAGAACAGCAAAGAAAAAGAAAGTATAACAGAAACTACTTACATTTCAGCTAGTAAATATCAAATATGTATTCACATAATTAGCTGAAAATGTGTTAAATTGGTGAAAATTGTTGAGTGAACTTAACCAGCATATTTTTCTTGTCCAACCGTTATATTCGCAAAATTATCATAGTCCATCCAGTATATAAACAATATTCTTTTTTGTCCACCCAGGATATCCACAGTATTCATCTTGTCCACCCCGTATATTAGCAATATTATCCTTGTCCACCTAGTATGTTAGCCAAATTTTGCTATGGGATCTCACTTGGAATTTGTGATATTTAATAATTTATAAAATGTTAATATCAGACATATTGTATGGTATATTGTACTAGCAAACAAAGAGATCATAGTACATAGCTTAATATTGAAACAATAATCGTTTTCCCTTCCTGCCTTCAAAATGCTGCTCCGAGAAAACACGACACATTGAACATAAATCCAAACAGAATCACATACAAAACTCATTGTCTATTCCAAGAAAACGACACTTATGAATGAATCTCGAGTGAAGGTAAAATCACTTATTTTTGTTACTCAATGACAACAAGAAATAGAACACAAATGAAGCACACGTGACAGCCATTTTGCGTCTGCCTTATGTCGGCCATAGAAAAATAACAAATGGCATTGGTACAAGGTATGGTGGTGTGTCAGCACACGATGTGAATCATGCTGCAGAGGATTGCAGATGGTGAAGAGCCATGATCGCCCACGCAAGTCGGCAAGGCATCTGATGATGATGATGATGTGATTCGTCAGTGCATGGGCTTTTACGGCAAGATCTAAAGGAAACAAATCATCAATTAAGACAATGGGACCTTGGCTTCTACCAACAGCAGCATGACAATCGAGGTGATGGATGTGACAAGGACCCAAGAATGCGTGACAAATCAAGAAATCGCCAAAGCATCCTCGCTAAGCGACTCAATGAGCATGCTACAGAAGATCCAGGCGGAACATATACTTAAACAGTGGCTCCATCTGATACAGCACACAACACTTCGCAAAAAGGCATACGGCGCACAGCTCATGAGCGGCAACGCTCCATTGCCCAGCAACTAGAAAATGCCTTGCCCTACGTTTACCAAATGGAGCAGAGAGGAGGAAAACCATGCGGAAGCCACCGGTCGTTACATCAACCAGAACTGAATGGGAGTGGTTAGCCTAAAACACTTGGAGACATAATCAGGAGGAGATCGGAGCACTTATGGATCATGTCGGACGTGCGATGAAGATGATCTTGAAATGAACAATGAACACCTCGTATCCCTGCATCCGTGTTAGCATAGCGACCAACTAGCAAGCACTGCCCCAGTGTGTGTGGGTGGGAGAAAGCATGGGCAGAGCGGATATCAAGACTGTACGGACTAGTAAAGTAGGTAAAGTATAGGAGACTTTTTCAAGCCTTCAGGCGTATTGGGTATATAGGGCTAGACCTATATTTTATAGACCAATCTGCACTCGGTGAATAATGTCGTCAGCATCACGCCGGCTGCCTTTACTTCCGAGAACTGTACCTAGTAGCAATTTAATACGAGCCAAGGTCATTAAAAAAAGTCGGGCTTCGTCACGATATGACTAAGTTAGTGGATAATGATGAATCGCTGGTTCTAACATGATTACGTGACATGGGAGTAAAGCCGCCTTCGAGACCGAGATAGGAGACGTTATAAGTAGTTCATTCTGAGAGCAATAAGTAGCGGTACCTTGGGGTGGCTGCTGCATAGAAGGACTGAGCACCCATAGGTATGCGTAAAACGCAGTGACGTCGACTGTGATAACTTTAGCATAATGGCTAGACGCTAGCATCCAGAAAATGTGATTATAGTTCGCTAAGAAATCATTGTATTCTTTACTCACACGTTGAAAGCTAAGTGACGTTTTATATATTGACCTATCAGAAATGTAGTTGAGTCAACATTGTTTCGTGTGCGTGTTGACGTAGGTTTTCCTTGCCGAGCGAGCGTCCATGGTGAATAATATAGTTTTTTTTTCTTCAGATTCCACTTCCAATTCTTGTTTGTACACCCATCGTAAGAATTAGAAGTAATTTTCAGGAATTTATCATTTACAGTTTCTCCGTGGATCTTTCGAACCACCTCACCGAGATGTGATTTTGATAAGAATTATTTGTATTCATTATCCGCATGCCTATTTCGCCAATTCTACGTACTCATGAGTTAAATGTTTTCTCTTTCTCATCCTCACTCTTACACATGTACACACACAGAAAAGCGAGCGACGAACTAACTGAGATAACGATGAACACGAACGACGAGTGTGGCAATTCATCCATTGACGCCGTGGTGGTCGTCCACACATCGGCCGACCATTTCAAGCGCAGAGAGAGGTTCCGGATGGCCTATTCAAACTACAGTAACACTAAACCATACAGACTCAAGGTGAGTGGATACCGCATGCTGGGTAGCGTCCCCTGTATGATAGACTAGATTTCGTGTATCAAGCTCAACCTGTCATGTTTCAGTTCCTGGTGTGTCTCATTCAATATGTCATGTGCCATAGGTTAGTTCTCATGTGTCCCACTCAATGTGTCATGTGTCATAGGTTAGTTCTCATGTGTCCCACTCAATGTGTCATGTGTCATAGGCTAATCCTCATGTGTCCGCGTCATGTGTCATAGGTTAGTTCTCACGTGTCCCACTCAATGTGTCATAGGCTAATCCTCATGTGTCCGCGTCATGTGGCATAGGTTAGTCCTCATGTGTCTGCGTCATGTGGCATAGGCTAGTCCTCA